TGCTGGATGGTAGACCGAGCAGAGTTCTCCAGAGAACCCAGCTGGACTGCACCTTGTCTCTCCCTGATCCTGTAACCAACCCCTTTACTATCTGTAAGTTACCCCCCCCAAATAAACCTCCTTTTTAGCTACATGGAATTGCCTTAATAAATCCTCCACTACAGCTCAGCTGGTCACAGCACAGCCGTACTTCCTGTCACACTCAGCATCCTGCCCCTGGTCACAAACCCTGAGATGGCTAAAGTTCATCTCGGACATTCCCGTATGAGCCCTGCTCCTCACGAGATGGTCAGCAATGACAAGTCCACTTCTCTCAGTGATGCCGCCTCAGCGCATCACCTCAGGGTTGCTTGGCCAGGTTTCCAAAGCAGTAAGCCAGTAGAGTTCCCTCTTCAGAAGCCTCTGGGAGGAGCCAACAGCACAGTCTGTTGCATACAAGCTTTTGCAGGGTTATTGAATCAGAGACTGCCATTGCAGTTCTGGCCAGATCCGTAAATGCCTGGTTTGATAGGTTGGAAGGACATGGAGGTCTCTGAGGCTTGCTAGGGTCTCTGTTTCTGCAGAGTGAGGCAGGCCTTGGCTGGGGAGGCTGCTGTGGTCCAGTCCACTTGTGGTTTACGGGTGGAGAAGGAGGCTGTCATTGTGGGCCCACAAGTGTTGGGCACTGGGCAGGTGTTTTGTCTCTACCCTCGCTGTCTGGGCCGCTCAGGCCTTGGGTGAACCTGAGCAGCTCAAACTGAAACAATTAGAAAGTTATTGGCTGCAGGTGTCCACCCAGTGATCCTGTCATGGTAGCGGGGCTCTATATGGGGCTCTCGGCTCCGGAGGGGGCTCTGGTGGCCTCGGGGACTTGCATCTCACACAAAGTCCTGTTCCTAGTCTATGAATGAGACAGAAGCCTAGTAAAGGAGCCCCAGTTTTCACAGTGTTAGTGTGGGTTGGTTCACACTAAAGCATCAGCAGTGTGAGGTGGTTCACACTAAAGCATCAGCAGTGTGGGCTGGTTCACACTAAAGCATCATCAGTGTGGGCTGGTTCACACTAAAGCATCAGCAGTGTGGGCTGGTTCACACTAAAGCATCCATCAGCAGTGTGGACTGGTTCACACTAAAGCATCCATCAGCAGTGTGGGCTGGTTCACACTAAAACACCAGCAGTGTGATTTACTTGTTCACACTAAAGCATCGGTGGTGTGGGCTGGTTCACACTAAAGCATCAGCAGTGTGGGCTGGTTCACACTAAAGTGTTAGCAGTGTGGGCTGGTTCACACTAGAGTGTTAGCAGTGTGGGCTGGTTCACACTAAAGCATCATCAGTGTGGGCTAGTTCACACTAAAACACCAGCAGTGTGTTTTACTTGTTCACACTAAAGCATCAGTGGTGTGGGCCGGTTCACACTAAAGCGTAAGCAGTGTGCTGAATGCAGACTCTCCAAGGGACAGGGATGGGGCCTCAGCTGTCTCTGTCAGGGACAAGGGAGGACTTTGTACAGTTCCTGTTGGCCAGAGGAGGACACTGTGTCTCAGAGAGGGCCATGTGGTCTCAGAACACGAGGCCCCAGGACACAGCTTCCCCTGAGCTGGCTTTGTACAGTTCTTTGTTGACTCAGGCACACTGGATCAGGTGCCCTTGATTGGAGGGATCTAAACCATCGTTCTAAAAGCAGTAAGGTGAGGTTCAGTGTCATGATTGCCTCATCCAAGATTACTCAGTGGAAGTGGGAAGAGTGAGGATTCGAACCCACAGCTATCTGTCCCTAGGGCTTGTACTTTTGCTGAGTGGAGAGCACACAACCTCTCCCACCCTGGGGTGTCTGCCATGGCCAGTCTGGTTCCTGCAGGTTGAGAGTAGTATTTTCTACCCTGATCCAGAGCCACCCATAACTTTGACCCTGAGGGTGGGTTCAGATAGGGGCAGCCATTTCAGGTAAGTACGGAGGTTCTGAGAAAACTACAGCCTGTGTTTAGAAAACTAGAACAACCTGTGACCCAGCTCTGCCCTTCCAGGGCGGGACCAGAGTCCCGTAGATCCATGCTCATTGCTGCTCTGTTCACAGGAGCCAGGATGTGAAATCTGCCTGGATGTCCGTCAACAGAGGCGTGGACAAAGAAAACGTGATATGTTATTCATATCATAACAGGGGATGTTATTCAGCCACAATGAGAAACACTATCATCTGGAGGAAAATGAATGGAACTGGGCATCACCGTGTTTAGCAAAATAAGCCAGGCGGAGACAAACAGCGTGTGTTTTCCTCTCACCTGTGGAATGTTCATAGAATAAAAAGAAGACATGAAAACAGAGGTGGACCACTCTTGTGGAGAGACAAGCCGGGGGGGGGGGTGCCAGACAGGCTGGGGGTGAATGTGGTCGAGGGCCATTGTAAACAGGTGCGAATGCTCTGATGAAACCCACTGTGTTGTGTGAACCATTCTTGACGATAAGGATAATTTAAGGCGAAGCTCGGGGCTTGGGCCCCAACTCCAGCTGGGCTTCCAGTGGGGGCACCTCTCACACAGTGCTGCTGGAAGAAGCCCCTGCCTCCCAGCCCTGCCCATAGGGTGGAGGTGCAGATGTCATGATCTTCCCATAGGGCTAATGCCAAGGATTCTCCTAAGAACTGTGCATGTGTGAACTCCTCCAGCTCTGGGCAGGTCACCCTTCAAACAGCAGGAGGCCCACAGAGCAGAAGCCACTTGTCCCCCATCATGTGCAGCTGGGCTCAGTGACAGAGCCCATGCACAGATCTAAGTGCCTCAGTTTCCCTGTTAAGAGAAACCTTGTGTTTGGGGCAACTACACACCGGTGCTGATGTCCTAAACCCTGGCTCTGAGGTAGCTTCCCTGAGAATGTGGGTCCACCCTGGGACATGTCCAGCTGTCCCTAGCCCTGAAGTCAGTCCTACTGCTGGTCACTCACCCTCCACTTAAAGCAATGCTTGCTTGATTCCTGAATGCATATTCCTGCCCCAGGGCCTTTGTGCATACTACTATAATTTTGAGTCATCTCAAAAAGAAATTCCTGGGTGCAGTCAGAGGGCTCAGGGAATTAAGTCCTTGTGGTGTGAGTGGCTGGACCTGAGTTCAGTTTCCAGAGTCCACATGAAGCCAGACACAGTGGCATGCATCTGTCTGAGTTCTCCCATGGTGAGACAGAAGGAGGAGACAGGCGAATCTCCAGAAGTTCAAAGACCAAGTAGCTTGGTGCAGTAAATGGAGGCAGAGCCTTTTGTCCTGATCACCCGGTGCAAATAAACACACAAAGCTTATATTAATTACAGAATGCTCGGCTGATGGATCAGGCTTATTGCTAACTAGCTCTTACTTTTAAATTAACCTGTTTTTATTAATCTATGTATTGCTACGTGGTCCATGGCTTTACCAGTCCTCTGGCATCTTGCTTCTTAGTAGCCTGCTCACAGCTGGCTCAACTCCACCCCTCTTCCTCCTCAGATTGATTGTTCTGCCTAACCTCATCCTGCCTTGCCATAGGCCAAAACAGCTTTAATATCAACCAGTGAGAGCAACACATATTCACAGTGTACAGAAGGACCATCCCACAGCACAGGAGGCAGAATATAAATAAGGGACTAGGGTGAGGGTGAGAATGGGCACCTGAGGTTGTCCTCTAACTTAAACATGTGTGGCTCTTAACTCCTTTAGGAAGCTTCTAGATGCCCCTCCCCACCTCTTGACCCCACTATCTGCTGGAGGGTCCTGTAGTAATGGTGACTGCCCTGTACCCTCACCTGTCCTGGGGTCTCCCAGCAGGTGTCTGAAGTGGGGTGATGGGGGGGGGCCTGGATATAGGTGTGGAATGAGAGCATGCTGATTGGATAAACATGTGACCAAGTGAATTCTGTCCTGGGACTGCAGCCCAGGCCTCACTGTTAGTCACATAGGGTCCTGAGTTCTGCTCTGGCTCAGCTATGACACCCCATCGCAAGGGCTTGGGAAAGATAGAAGCCCAGCTTCCCTGTCTGTGAGTGAGCGAGGGGGAAGGTCGCTTGCTGTGGGATGGTCTGTATGTCAAATTACTCTGATTGGTCAATAAATAAAACACTGATTGGCCAGTGGCTAGGCAGTAAGTATAGGCGGGACTAACAGAGAGGAGAAAAGAAAGAACAGGAAGGCGGAAGTAGTCACTGCCAGTCACCGCCAGGACAAGCACCATGTGAAGACGCCGGTAAGCCACGAGCCACGTGTCAGAGTATAGATTTATGGAAATGGATTAATTTAAGCTATAAGAACAGTTAGCAAGAACCCTGTCATGGCCATACAGTTTGTAAGCAATATAAGTCTCTGTGTTTACTTGGTTGGGTCTGAGCGGCTGTGGGACTGGCGGGTGACAGAGGTTTGTCCTGACTGTGGGCCAGGAAGGAAAACTCTAGCTACAGTCACTGGTCTCAGCACAGCTGTGGCTCCATCCGTCTGGAGACCAGGGTCAGCGTGATGGTCCTCAGGGTAGGAAGAGAGGGTGAACAGGGTTGTGTTTGTGGTGTGGGTGTCCTCAGAGTCATGTGTGCTGGTCCCCTCTGTGAGACACGAAGACAGGGTGCCTAAGGGCCCGACTCTGGGGCGAGGTTGGACATCAGGGTGATGCTCCTGGGCTGGAGCTGGTGGCTGTGTCTAGAGACGAAGGGTTAAACTGGTAGGTCCACGTACACAGTTGCCAACCAAAGACCCACTGGAGTGGACTCTGGCAGCCGCCTTGCTGCCGTGACAGGATCCCTGAGGTAAACGGTGTCCAGGAGGGGACGCCATTTAGACACTTAGAGGTCTTAGATGCTTTGGGCCCACAGTGGCCCCAGATATCACAACTCAGTTGATTAGTGGCTGAGAAGTGGGAGTTGGGGGGAAGGGTGTGAGTCTTAATGCCCCTCAAGGGCACACATCTACTGATCAGCACGGGAGTTTTGACCTGCTCCGTTTCCGACCTGGGCCGGTTCACCCCTCCTTAGGCAACCTGGTGGTCCCCCGCTCCCGGGAGGTCACCATTGATGCCGAACTTAGTGCGGACACCCAATCGGCATAGCGCACTACAGCCCAGAATTCCTGGACTCAAGTGATCCTCCTGTCTCAGCCTCCCGAGTAGCTGGGACTACAGGTGTGCACCACCGTGCCCAGCAAGGGCACATATCTAATGACCTCCTGCCCTGGGGCCCCACCTCCTAAAGACTCTGCTGCCCCCCAGTAATGCCAAACAGCAATATACAGCCTTTGGCAGACAGTCCTGAATCAAACCATAGGAACCTCCCAAATGTGAAAAATCATCCTCTTTCCATAATAAAGCCACCCAGCTTCACATGGATTGTTATAGTAGTAAAAACTGAACAAGGACTGGCCGAGGATTCTTATCCCACCAGACCTGAGCTTCGCCATCTTGTCTTTCTGTTTTCTTTTAGACCAGGAGTTCTCAACCTGTGGGTCGAGAACCCTTTGGGGGGTCGAACGACCCCTCCGGCAGGTGTCACCTAAAACCATCAGAAAACACAGATATTCACATGACGATTCATAACAGTAGCAACAATACCGTTATGAAGTAGCAATGGGATAATGTTGTGGTTGGGGGCCACCACAACATGAAGAGCTGTGTTATAAAGGGTCACAGCATCCGGAAGGTTGAGAACCGACGCTGTGGAGTGACCCACAAGCTGTTGCTCTTCATTTAACTCCATCACCAGACAGTGAAGCCTATGAGGCGAGGACACCTTGCTGGGCCCACACAGGCCCCGTTCTGTCCTGTGCCTGGCAAACTGCTCACATCTTTGAGGGCCGATCCCATCTGGCCCCTAGCTCTAGGAAATGGGCCCTGAAGGGTCTCAGGTCCCTTGCTCAGCTCTGTTTCCCTGCCTCTGCAGGAGGCCGGTGCAGAGGTGGGTGCTCCTGAGTGTGGAAGGGAGGAGAGTCAAGGTCCAACACTACACAGATACGGGAAACTGTGCGGGCACCAGCTGCTCTGGGGGAGGGAACGGCCCCGTCCTGGGTCTGCCTGGTGTACAATGTGCTCTCTCAGCTGAGAGGATGGAGCCTGGAATCGCACTCAGGAGACACTGAAAGCCTTTGTCCAGACTGCTAGAGGAAGAAGGGTCTAGAACATTCTAAAGCTTTGTGCCTCATCCTTCAGCTGACCGCCACCACAATGCCTATCTGAAAAAAAAAAAAAAAAAAAAAAAAAAAAAGGAGTTTCCCAGCATAGTTTGCCAAGCTTTTACATGTCCCAGAAGAAGCCCCCTTTCTTAATGCCACAGGCTTAAGTAACCAACGGTCTTAACAGACAAGTTCATGTCTTCCCAAGAAGTCACACATCACACAGCTATAAACCTCTGTCAGCCTCCAAAGAGAGGACTCCACCAAGCCTGGCTTAGAGAACCAGCCAGTTTATTGGGCTACTTCCAGGAGCATGGGGTCAGGGTCGGGTGCATGGGACAGCTGTGCCCAAGCATGGGTGACAACTCAGAAAGAACTGACCTCCTGGTGCTCAGGGCATAGCCTCCAGCCTCATTAAAGAGAGCCGCCCAGCACCGTCCACTTCGGAGACATTGTGCAGGGCACCGAGCCATCCTTTCAAAGGGGGTCCCCAGCTTAGCAGGCTCTGTAGTATACGGATGGAGACAGCAGGGTACGGAAGGGAAACAGGTACTGCAGCAGCAGCCCCGGCTGCTCTGAGGAAGGCGCATCCCAGGAACCACGAACAGTGACATTATTATGGCAGGAAGACGGACATAAAATCCACAGTTGGAACCCTGCAGCTATCCAGGCCCAGAACCAGAGTTATCTGTTGGCCCACCCCAACATCCACCCCATCTGTGATCTGCTGGAGCATGTGAACGGGCCGGTCCTGCAGACCCACAACTCCAGGATGTCCACAACACGGGGTAACATCAGGATATCCAAGAGGAGTCCCAGTGAGGGCCCAGCATCGATAGTGCAGCAGAAGCCAGAGGCCTTGAACCAGACCACTACTCTTTGCAGGTAAAGATATGTAGACAAAAAGGTTTACTGTGTGACTCACTGTGACACATGACAGCTTCCATGACGAGATTGACTTTTTCCTTCTCTCTCTCTCTCTCTTTTTTTCTTTTTTTCTCTTAAATTTTATTTTACTTTGTGAGGGAGGTTGCGAGGGCAGAGGGTAAATAGGATGGGATAATGAATGGGATGGGGATGCATGATGTGAAGGACACAAAGGAAAAAAAACTGTGGTCAGAGTGTGGCTCAGTGGTCAGAG